AGAACACTGATCAATTCAAGCTTAACAAGCCATACTATGATTGCAATCATTAAACAAATTAATATCGTCTTTAGCGTTATTTATGATTGCTGAATTGCAGTATGAATGGGGCAGAATTAGATTTCACGATATTATCGTAAAAATCAATTTTATAACTTAAAGTTGAAGTTGCAACCAGTTCAGTTGATGATTCTTGCAAAAAAAGCAGTATTGTACCTAACTATGCAGCATATTGGAGCCGTAAGTGCCACATGTGAGTGCCACTAGTGCTGCATGTTATATATGATAGTGCTGCAAGTGCCACATGTGAGTGCCACTAGTGCCGCATGCTACATATGATAGTGCCGCAAGTTCCACATGTGAGTGCCACTAGTGCCGCATGCTACATATAGTGCCGCAAGTGCCACATGAGTGCTGCAAGTGCCACATGTGAGTGCCACATGCTACATATGATAGTGCCACAAGTGCCACATGTGAGTGCCGCAAGTGCCACATGTTTCAATATAACCCAACTTTCAGCCGTTTAAGACCCCCTCGCCCTCCATCAGACACTAATCAGTTGCACAGCTATTATACAAGAATTACTTTATTCACAATAGCTATGAAGATATCCACCCACAGTGTTAGATCATTTTGCACAAGGCTTTCTTCCCCCGGTCCCAGTGAACCTCTAGGCTCTGACTCAGCCCCTTAGCCTCAGATCGTGATATCATGAGATTCTGATAAATTAATCACAAGGCGCGTCACAATTTTTATTTTTATCAGACTTATGACATTAGTATTAGCATCAAACAATTCTCCGTTTAATGTCTAAATATTGAGACAAATTATATTGAAATAAACAGGATGAATATTATTAGTAGAATAATTACTACATCGCTAGTCCTGCTACATCGCTAGTCGCAAAAGCTTCAAACTGTGAAGATCAAATAGAAATTTATCTGAAAATATTACCAAAGTAGATGTTTTGTGCGTACCAGGATATCAGCATCTTTGTAGTTGTACTACATACACTAGTCATTGTCACATTTTTTAAAAATGTTTAAAAATTTGATCGCTGGTATGAACTTAAAGTAGATTGGCGAAAAACATCTGTTAGTGCTTGTAAGCATAAAGTAAGCATTAAGTATTGGATATGGAACAAAGTCAAAGAGAGCTTGAAAGCTCTGGTGACGTCATAGTCACGTGACCTCAGGCTCATAATCACGTGACCTCAGATCCAATCTGTCACCCGATCTTGAGGTGACGTACGACACCTTGCTAACCCAATACATGTCTGGAAGGCTGCTAATTTTCACATGCCAAACTCACAAGGTTCTTAAAGAGTTGTGCGAGATGACGATCCATAGAGGCCGCAGAATTATGAGGACTACCAGATCCTCGTGGAACTTAAGCGATCCATGATATCATGACAGGCCCTATAGTACAAGATACATTTTAGGAAAGGAACTTCTATTGCAATTATCGACTTAAAAAATGTTGGTGAATTTATATCTGGAAGATAACCAAGTAAAACAAGTAAAAAAAGGATATGGTAATATAGTGTATTCAATGTGAACAACAACATGAATAAATTATCATAGCGAAAGTCCGTTTACCCTAAGTAAGGTGGCGGCGGTTGTATGAGGATGGAAGGCGATTAATAGGGACTACTGGTTAGGACAGAACTTTGACCTATAGAGCTAAATAGTATGAACTAATCTTAACATCATCATATTGGTACGGTTGAAGGGATGAAAATAATACGGAGAGAGAGAGAGAGAGAGAGAGAGATAGAGAGAGAGAGAGAGAGAGAGAGAGAGAGCGAGAGACTGAGAGAGAGAGCGAGAGAGAGAGAGCGAGAGAGAGAGCGAGAGAGAGAGAGCGAGAGAGAGAGAGAGAGAGAGAGAGAGAGAGAGAGAGAGAGAGAGAGAGAGAGAGAGAGAGAGAGAGAGAGAGAGAGAGAGAGAGAGAGAGAGAGAGAGAGAGAGAGAGAGAGAGAGAGAGAGAGAGAGAGAGAGAGAGAGAGAGAGAGAGAGAGAGAGAGAGAGAGAGAGAGAGAGAGAGAGAGAGAGAGAGAGAGAGAGAGAGAGAGAGAGAGAGAGAGAGAGAGAGAGAGAGAGAGAGAGAACAAGCGGAGCACAACCCGATGACTGGAAAAAGGCCCCGAGTAGATGGTGCGCTCGCCTTTTGTAGTGAGTCTTTACAGCGGTAGTTCCGTGGAGATGGCAGTGTTCTTCGCACTTGCATCATTGCAAATAAAAAATAGCAGTTACATTAAAATACTGGCAGTTACATTAAAATACTGGTTTACAATACCGGTTATCAAATTACATTATAGATAATTGTAAAGAACTTATTCATTTTAATCAAATCCAAAATCTTAACACAAACGCAACAAATTTTACCGGAGACTTCATGCTTCATCCAGAATTTCTATTAGCATTTAAATTATTATATTTGATTTTATTTCCACTTCGTGATATTGTAACGCGGTTAAATTTTAAGATTTTATTTTCATACTTTTATTCGGCTTTTGTTTTATATATGAACTTATTTATGAATTGATGTATAGCCAAAACGAGTCCGTTAGTGTTCTCCTTGGTAATTTCAAGTTTAATTCCAGTTTAATTCCATCTAATTTAGTGCGAGAGAATTCTGGGTCTGCTGAGTTTATTTGCGAATAATTTACTGTTATCAATAAAAATTCTATTCGCACGCCAGTCGGTCTCGTGCACAGATATTTTAAATTTAACTTTGATCTGGCAGCTATAAGAATATAATTAGAGGGAGTTATGTGCCTCGCCGGGCTAAAGTAGTGGATGACCTTGCTGTACGGCAAGTTAAACAAGGATCTGAAACTACTAGGTTCCGTACAGACTCAACTCTGCACCCGTGTCAATATGTTCATTATATGCAAGCCTCTTGATTTATAAGAATATAATTGTTACTTCCAATTAACTTCTAAATGCTGCACGTGTGCTTAACACCAACCACTAGGTCCCATGAGATCCGGGGTCTCACGGTGATCTGCAGATCACGTCACCCAATCAGTGACGAATAACAAACAGAGTTGGATTGATAAGTAGGTGAGTTGATCAGCTGTCAGTACACAACCATAATGTTGCGATATAATAAATAACATCACTATCTAATATCCCTGAATAAGAAGAAAAGAAAAGGAAGTTGCAATGAGAGTAAATACCTGATGCATGATGCAGCCATCTGAAATCTGAAATCTGAAATCTGAAATCTGAAATCTGAAATCTGAAATCTGAAATCTGAAATCTGAAATCTGAAATCTGAAATCTGAAATCTGAAATCTGAAATCTGAAATCTGAAATCTGAAATCTGAAATCTGAAATCTGAAATCTGAAATCTGAAATCTGAAATCTATAAAATCTGAAATCTGAAATCTGAAATCTGAAATCTGAAATCTGAAATCTGAAATTTGAAATCTGAAATCTGAAATCTGAAATTTGAAATCTGAAATCTAAAATCTAAAATCTAAAATCAGCAGCTGCCAGTAGTACTTGTATTATAGTATGGCCTGTCGTGATATCATGGATCGCTGAAGTTCCACGAGGATCTGGTAGTCTTCATAATTCTGCGGCCTCTATGCTTCTATGAATTGTCATCTTGCACAACTCCTTAAGAATCTTAAGTGCTGGGCATGTGAAATTTTGCAGCTTTCCAGACATTTATAGAATTAACGAAGTGTCGTACGTCACCTCAATTAAGGTCAGGTAACAGGGAGCTGACCAAGACAGAACCCAATTGATCGGGTCGGAGGTCACGTGACTATAACGTCACCAGAGCGTCATGTTCTCCGTTTCCCGGTCATTTGACCAGGTGATCTCGCATGCTTTTTATTTGAATCTGAGAATGTGAAGAAAGTGTAATAATTCTAATTACCTCCCATAGAAAGCCAAATTCATTTTCTGAGAGAAAGCTAGAAATTTAACAAAATATAATCGACCTTGTTACAAACTCATTTTGATGACCGTTCCTGAACTAAAAGTAAAATAAATATTTCAGAACATTCTAGAAGGTTATGGATTATTCTATGAGTACAGGGTAGCAAAGCCTGCAGCCTAACAATTATAATGAGTAATTCGCCGCAACTTTATTTTTAAATAAAAATTCCAAGATTTATCGAATTTGCATTTTTATTGTTGCATATATGTTCATTTTCCACTATATTATTATTATTGACGGCCCTTGCACAAACTAATCATTGAGGTTAAGACCGAGTTTGTTTGTCTATTTCTTGCTTCTCCAATTATCAAATTAGATTATAGCGGTACTTTATTGAAATAATGATCCCTGGAGGTCCAGTATAAATGTCTTGGGTCGCAGACTGACATTAACCATAAAATCGTTTTTGCAAATTCCACCTTATGGATCATTTGGCTTGGAAATATGATCTTACGCGACATAGACAGGATTTTCTGCAGCTGGGCCTCCTATATTTACATTGTTTTATTGACGTTGTTTTATTTACGTTTTTTATTTACGTTCTTTATTTACTTTGTTTTATTTACGTTATTTTATTTAAGTTGTTTTATATACGTTGTTTTATTTACGTTGTTTTATTTACGTTGTTTTATTTACGTTGTTTTATTTACGTTGCTTTATTTACGTTGTTTTATTTACGTTGTTTTATTTACGTTGCTTTATTTACGTTGCTTTATTTACGTTGTTTTATTTACGTTGTTTTATTTACGTTGTTTTATTTACGTCTGCTAAGCTAGGGATGAAATATTAAAATATGCACACATTTTAAGTATATTTATTTTTTATAAAAAGCACATTCAATTTAATACTTATAAAAACTACTTAACTTGCTTAATTCTGCACTAGTTTGACGATCTTAGACCCGAAATTGAACGGGAGAATCGACTTAAAATATACTAAAATTTCCAGAAATATGTTAAGATTTTCCCTGATATAAATGATTAAACATAACTTTTTATTATTCTTATACTAGTGTATAAAATAATAAGTACATTATGAATTATAAATAATGATAAAATATTAGTTGTTTCATTTTTATCAAGTTGTAAGTGAGTGGTAAAACGTCATGACGATAACGATCATCATTTTGACGATCCTACTGTGGTCATCAGTCAAAGGTAACATTTTATATGGTAAAATCTTTACTAGTCATATTATAATTATGGACACGGGAGGCTAAACGTTACCGCCCAAGTCCCAAACGTTTCAGTTAACAATTGATTTATTATTTAAATACTTTTTCTGATAAGACTTACTAATCGATTACTAAGCAATTGCTATAAAAGTACAACCACTGATTGAATAATAAGCTAATTGATTAATTTGCTTATTATCCAAGTAGCAACCAATTTTTCGATTATAATAAAAATGAAACCTACTACCATCCTCACCTCACAACTGGGGATGTATCAAAATTAGTAATTACTAGTTGGTATTCATGATATGAAAACCAAATTTCCCCACTTTTTATGAAAACGACTTACTGTCATAACTTTATCGGCGTGTACATCAAATCTAATTAAATTATTTCAATTTTTTTTCGAATCAATATAGTTCAATATCGCATATTTTAGTTATTACTTATTCGAAATAATTGGATCAAGTCAAATTATAGTGCAAAGTGATTTAATTTAATAATTGGCCTTTCAAATTACAGTTTTCCTGAAAAGAAAGTGAGCTCTAGCTAAACTCTAATGATTGAGATATCCAAGACGAGTTCGTTAGTGTTCTCTTTGTTCATTTCATGTTTAATTCCTGTTTAATTCCTGTTTAATGTTTAATTCCTGTTTATCAAGTAAAAATACTTTGACAATTGGGATAGAATAGTAAAAAGTGAGTGCTGTCACGTCGGCCGGGTGGTTTAGTGGTTTTAATACATTTGCTTCTCACGCGGACGACTGGGGTTTGATTCCCAATGGGGACCAATTTGGTATGATGCGGTTCGGCAACCAAACCATGTAATGGTCTGAGCTTCGAAAAAACTTATAAAAAATTACATTTTAAAATTTTCAAAATTTTGTCAAGTCTCAAAAAATGTCTAAGTGAACAATTTTTGAAATATTCTCGAGCCAATACGTAAACGTTTTTATAATTTTTGTTAATTAGATAATTAGCTAATTAGTAATTATAAAATTATCTGATTGTCTGACGTGAACATTTTTCGGACAAAAGTTCTTCTCGTCGATAAGATAAACACCCTCGATTAATTTGTAACCTTCTACGATGTTCATAGCTGAAGATATTTGACAAACAAGAAAGGTGGTAAAAAGTGGTAAAAGTAGCAATTATAAGACATGTGGAAAATTATAAGACATGTGGAAAATTTTGGAACAGTTAGTCAGCCTAATAACGTCATAAATCCTTTGGGAGCTTTTTGTGTCCGTAGATCGATTTTTCAGACGATCTGTAGCTGTACTATAGTACTATATTTGCACTCTGCGCTGCCAATATCCATATCACGCAAAATATAGACCTTATTAGGTAATCGTGACGTCACGTTATCCATGACAGTTGGCACGAGTACTGAATAGACTGTGCCTGCAGTCACGTCAGGCACGGATTTTTGGCTAGGCACGGCTTTTGAAAAGCCACGCGCGACGTGCCTGAGGAGTTGTCACGTATCCTTGGCACGCCCTATAAATAACACACTACGTACCTATGGTCATTACATCTGACCGCACCATGACAACAGTCATGGTGACAACAGTCATAGTATATATGGTCGGGCCCTTAAATTCTGAGAATAAACTATGGGCGACATTCTTACAATTCCTTTATAGTCAAGTTAAACATACAATTAACAGGTGAGTTTCCAGTCAAACGTGCCGTGGAAATAGAGTGGGATCTTGAGTCGACACCTTTAGAAATTAGGACTGATAGTGTGCTGGGGAGTGACGATCAGGTGTATGTGGACTTCTACTCTGCTGAGGAGAAATATGCAGGAGGATTCGCGCTCTACTTCACCTCTACTCCACAATACGAGCTCGGCTACTGCACATCCGGGACTGACTTCCCTGTTAATCTCCCCTCTACTGCTGACAAGGTGTGGCGCATCACTCTAACCAGTAGAGTAGTGATACACTGTAACGAGGTGGAGGTGCTTAACAAACTGCTCTCTGAATCAACGTGTAGTGACAGTAAGTGGAGAACTATCTGGAACAGGGACGTGACAAAGATATGGTTCGATTCCGACGACACAGCATCTGATTACTACGGAACACAATTACAATTACCAGGTGACTAATAAAAACAAGCATTGGTTTAACAAAGTAACAATAACTTTTATTTATAAATAAACCACCTTGCTGATCTTCTCGTAAGCTCGTGATTACGTGTTTTCTGTCTAAAATTTCAAGTGTGTTATTTAACATTATGCAAGCACGTGGTAGTCGAGTGACGTAGTCACGAGACATGCCCCCGTGACACAGCGTACTCTGCTGCAATGGCCATTCACAAGCGTCTCAGAGTAAAACCGGTTTTTCTGAATATTTATGTGAGATAAGATTCACATCCTTATAGTTCTAGAGAACAGCACGGGTCAAGTATGAAGTATCATTTTAAACGTTTTAAATTAGAGTAGATCGGAAAGGAACTACATACATGTTACATGTTACATGTTACATGTTACATGGTAAGGTCTCCTCCTAGTCGTTGGAGTGGCCTGCATCACACACATCGCGTTGGCGGCGTAACATATGTCTCCACTGTACTCGGTTGGTAGCCAAAGCTTCTGTCGTGTTGTTGTCGATGTTTTCAACACCTGTAAACTTAGCAGCATCTTCGAGTACGCAAGACTTCCAGTTCTTACGGGGTCTGCCCCTTGACCTCTTTCCATAATTTGGCTTCCAATTCAACAGAAACCTCGGTAGTCTAGAGTCTGGCATTCTAACTACATGTCCATACCAACGTAGCCTCAACAGACTTGATACCAGCCCTCCTAAGAACTTCGTCGTTGGTCACATGAAAGAACCATTTAATCCTAAGGATCCTTCTCAAGGAGGTTTGATGGAAAACCTCGAAGCGTTTCATCTGCTTTTTGGTGGTGTTCCAGACTTCAGCTACATACAACAAGATGGTGAGGACAGCAGCCCTATAGATCCTGATCTTGGTTGGAGTCTTTATAGTTCTGCTATTCCAAATGTTCCAGAGCTGATGAAAGGCGCCATTAGCCTTTTGGATACGGACATCCAGGTCTCTGTTGATTGTCCCATCCCCACTGATAGTTGCAACCAGGTAGACAAAGTTGCTAACCTGCTCGACGGGTTCACCCTCAACCGACAGCTCAATACAATCATCATTGATGAAAGGTCGCTGGGAGGCGCACTTGCTTACAGCCATGCATTGGGTCTTCTTTGCATTTATTCTGAGCCCAGCGTAGGAGCTGTAATGAACTAATAGGTCAGTTGACTCCTGTAGGCCTTCCCCTGAGTTGTCCATAATAGCCATGTCATCAGCATAATCGGTGTCCAGAATGACCTTTTCCTCGACCGTCTTCATCTCTTTCTGCAGCACTGCGCCTTGACTGATGATCTTGTTGGTCTCAGCCAGAAATGCAGAAAAGTTTAGGCAGAAATTAAAGACAGGAGGTGCTTGAATGTCACCCTGACCTGTGCCTGAGTTAACATCAAACCAGTCTGTCAGCTCCCCATTAACCCTCACGGCACTCATGGTACCCCCAAAAAATTACTGAAATATTCTGACATATTTTTCAGGCAGCCCATAGTGTCTCATACTGCACCAAATAAAGTCCCTTCTGATAGAATCGAACGCTGCCTTGAAATCCACAAAATTAATGTAAAGAGGAATGTTAAACTCAAGACAGTTATGAATAATAGTTCGGAGAGAATAAATCTGATCAATACATGAGCGGTTCTGTCTAAATCCGCACTGATTCTCCCTGAGAAGACACTCCATACCAGCATGTAACCGCTTAAGAAGAATCATCTGAAAAAGGAACTACTTTCATAAATTTGAACAGGAAATTATCACCAACAATAATTTGAAAATATATTCAAGTTTTATTTATCAAAACTACCTGGTAAAGCGGATTTAAATAAAGCGCTTTTTTCACTCCTAATAATTAAGGCGACTAATCATTCCTTAAGAACAAGAACTATCAACACACTGTTTGATGCAGGTGTAACGGAAACTGACATAATTAAGAGGACCATACACAGGAGCGCAGTCACGAGACATAAGTGATGAGACATCAAAATAAATGAAAATTCCTGGCACAAAACGATCAAATAGGACCGGGTCCTTGCACGCTCATCCTCTAAATCTCCTCTCAATAGTTAATTGCACAAACTAATCATTTAGGTTAAGACCGAGTTGGTTTGTCTATTTCTTGCTTCTCCAATTATCAAATTAGATTATAGCGGTGCTTTATTGAAATAATGATTCCTGGAGGTCCAGTATAAATGTCTTGGGTCGCAGACTGACATTAACCATATAATCGGACCGGGTCCTTGCACGCTCATCCTCTCAATCTCACCTCTAAACTCAATTTAAAGATCTGCCAAAAAATGCGTTACTCAATAAGTTGTTTGGAGTATACAAACAACTTATTGAGTAACTAAAAACCGGTTTTACACGTGCCCACAAGTAAGCATCCAATGAAATAGAGGAAATCTTTCACGTGACACGCAAGACTGATCATGCTATAGGCCATGTGGATCGTCTCTGATTGGTCAGCGTTACGGAAGAAAATATAAAAAAGTGTTTTTTAAATTGTTAATTAACTCCAAATTTGTTTTTTTTGTCGCAAATTGTAGCCTTATCTATCTTGATGTGCTGTACCATAAGTAAGTTGTGGAACAGCTGTCGGAAGTCGTGCCTTCGGCACTCGTTGCTCCAGCAGTTCCATAACCTACCTAATATAACACTAGGATATGGGATATAGGATAGTTAGCATATTGTTATTTATAACTTAATAAGGTGGTCATAATTTTATCAATTACTGTTCTCCGAATGAGATAGAATCACACTCTTTCAATGAAGGCAGAGTTATAATCATATTGGCGATAGCGGATTACAAAATAGCAAACTATAAGTATAATTTATAAATCTTGTATATTTTCAATTTTGTAGTAGACATGATGGAGACAAGCCATTTTCAGTTACTAAAGGTTGAAACAATTATCAATTGAAAACTGATGTTTTTATAAAATATCTTGAAAATAAGCAGTAATTAGGTATTTTACCAAACAAACTCAAAACTGTTATGGTTCAAGATTTATTTTGCAGAGTTTACACAGTATAAAAGCATGTGCATTGTGCTTCATTATAGTTTGTTGATGAGGCGTATTTTTAGCGTTAACCCTGGTGACTGAAGGTCTTAAATCATCCATGTCTTTCGGTTAGGCCCATAATTATCACTCCTGTTTTCTCTCCAATCAGCTCCTCCCTCGACAATCGATATCACGTGTTCCTTTCTGCCTCAGCTCGGTGAATTGTCTCCTTCATCTGGTTGATATTCCTTTTCTCGAACATGAGATAGTAATTCCTGTGATTGCTCTGGTCATTTCTCGACAGTTGTTACCAGAAGGACTTTCAGCATCAATGTTCCTGATAAGGCCTATATATAATTTATCGTCTCTACACAGTACACTCTATTTTCCACTTTATGAGTTCCTTCTCTCCTTTTGTCATGATGAAAGCACACCACGTGACCTGTCCCGTAGCTTGTAGGCTGTGAAATAGTTCAATTATTGTCTCGTGGACCAGGATATTTATATCGCCTTCACCCTAGCCACACCTGGCTAGTCGTAAATAGGATCGTAACAGACTTGATCTGTTATACTACATAGAATCGTAAAAATCAAATGTCAAATTTTATCTCAGAACCATAAATAAAAAATGATAATGAGTAAAACACATTGCTTAAATTACTACGACAGTTATCATGGATTAATCTAGATGTTCTGATGCGGTTTCTTAAGACTTGGTGGGTATTTATAACTGCCCATAAATGATGCTCTGCTGTTTTAACTTTATTATTATATCTAAGATAACTTGTTACATCCTACTGTTAAAACAAAATTAAACTTATCATAGGATCCAGTGAATTTAGTTTAGAAAGTTCAATCATTCAGTTCCTGTACAATACTAGAACATGTTTCTTTATTATTAATTATATAATTTACAGATTGCAACATAATACTATGAGTATGACATAATGACATCGTTACATCTGACACTGGAAACACGGATCATACTCGCCAAAGACAATTTTTCAGTCGAGTAGATATACAAAATAAGTTATGATGTTCATCGAAGGGTGGAGGGGGGATTTTCGGTAGTTTCGTGAAAAACTGCCAGGTAGCCAGGACTTTCTATTTTTATTAATGGACATGTTCATTTGAAGTTGAGATTATTTGTACATATACAAAAATATTAACCAAGCATGTTCAGAAGTTCTCAACACAGAAACTTTATTGTTGTTATGCACTATAATGTTACAACTACAAGTTTGCATTTTTTTGAATCTGTTAACTATAGCTGCCTTTACTGGGCCGCGCTCAGCCTGTCATTCCGCCTAATCTCTATTCGTTTATGAAAATGATAGCCTGAGGTCCCCAGGTAGTAGCTGCCTATAGTTAACTGTATAGTATTCCTTATTCTGAAATGTAGTAGGTTCTGGTTACTAATTAGATCAATTTAACAATCATAAAACATCATTGGTTAAAGAGCAGGGATTCGAGTTCGACGGTTATAAGGCAAGATTTGGTCAACTTTGTCGCACACTCTGAATCTGATACCTATTTTCTACTGTGTCCTAAAAACTTTATTATATCAGGCTCCACCTATGAATAGAAGAATCGTCCATCAGGATGATGAATAATTTTTCAGTGCCAGTATTTTGACGGTTGCACTCGATTTTATCTTACCCATTTAATTAAATTTGTTAACATCGAAAGACAAATGAACAGTTTAACGTACGGGAGTCAAGCGAACTAGGATAATCGAATAGTTGTAATTACTTGTTTATAGTTCCTAAATATGAATATGAGATTTGTGTCTTTTCGTGGTCTTGCAATAATTAGTCAAAGCCATATAAAATAGATCATGCCGATATCTTTCCAGAATGAAGGTATCTTTTACTAAATTAAATTTCCCCTTCAGAAGAAGATACAAGTGAAGAAGAAAATGAAAGTGAACAGGGAGACAACCAGAACTACTCTGATGCAGCAGCCCTGAAAGTCAGCTTAATTTTCCTCGTCGTTCTCCTGTTTGCTGTTGATATGAGAATCTAAACTTGTTTGTTGTTGTGGACTGGAATGGTTCTACGGTACAAAACAATATATTAACATGGTGTTTTATCGGGATGTGATAGAAAAAAATAACAACTTAAAAAAACGGACGAATCTATAAATTTATACCTTTTAATTAATTTTTGATATTTAACATTTTTAAATATTTTCGCAACTTAAATGTTTCAATAAAATTTAAAAGAAAGAGACTGCGATTCAGTAATTATTGAATAATTCATTGTATGTTTTTTTCAGAATATTATTATATTTATTGTAATATATTTTTTTTTCCCCGATCCTGACTTTTGTGTCAGGACTAGAAACGTGAACAAAGCTTTTTTATTTGGCAAGTTAAATTGTTATGCATGTTTGCTACCAGGAAAAACCACCGGTGGGGGAATATCTACCTGTCTTCCAAAAACTATAAAATTAAAAAATAATAACCAACTTAAACCCCCCCCATAACTAAACCACTCTAAACCCAAACATAATACACCCCCTTTCTCCCCCCCCCAAAATTTCCCCCCCCAACTCAAAATCCAAAACACACCCCCCCCTAAATTCCATCAAAAAATTTCCCCACCCCCTCACCCTCACAACCCCAAATCCTTCACACTACCATACCAACATACTATAAATAACCAAATTTCACAATCCTCATATCATATAAAACTGTATAAACTTGATTTCCGTTGAACACGACGACACCCCCCCGCCCAGCCCCCCCACCCCCCTACCGTGCTGTTGAAAATTCTATCACCTCTAGCAAGCCAGCAGGAGGTTAAGGTTTTCTTGGGTGTGTGATAGAGCTGAGAGTTATAGTTCAGCTGCAGAAGAAGCAGCCGAGGGGGGTGAGAAGAGAGGGGGGGGGAGGTGCAGGGAGTTAGGGGGATGTTTTTGCGTTATAAGAATTATAATTCGGCGAAAAATGTATGAAGTTTTTAAAAGTAGTTTTTAGGCTGAAGAATCGCGTTTTTACCTGCCCATCCAGGATCTGGAGTCCCCTTTCATGTTGGCGAAAATTCTCTACTTTCTTTTGATGTTTTAAATTGAAATTGACTTGATTGGTGGAGAGATTATGGTTTGTCAAAGTGAACGTTTTAAAATGAAAGCGCAAATTATTTTAAACGCGCGTAGGTTCGGCCCAGGAAACCCTACCGGCTGGGTATATCTCCAAAAGTAAAATAAATAGAACCTTCCGGTTTTCAACAAAATGTCCGTCTCGTAAATTTAAAGTTGGCTCCCCAGGAGCACAATTTGGGACAACTTAGATTTTGAATTAAACCAAAAAGTTTGATTTTGGGCTAAATAAAATATCACAGCTTTTAAACTTTGCGAAGTAATGTCGTTGTCATGACTACTAGGCTCAATGCAGCGTGCGAAAGGTAAACTTGATGTGACGCGCGACGCCAAACGTGCTGTTGAAAATCTATCACCTCTAGCAAGCCCAGCAGGCGGTAAGGTTTTCTGGGTGTGTGATAGAGCTGAGAGTTTATAGTTCAACTGCAGAAGAAAGCAGCAGGAAGGGGGGTGAGAAGGGGGGGGGGAGGTGCAGGGAGGTAGGGGGATGTTTTGCGATATAAGAATTATAATTTCGGCGGAAAATGTATGAAGTTTTAAAAGTAGATTTTGAGGCTGAAGATCGCGTTTTTACCTGCCCATCCAGGATCAGGAGTCCCCTTTCATGTTGGCAAAATTCTCTACTTTCTTTCGATATTTCAAAATTGAAATTTGACTTGATTGGTGGAGAGTTATGGTTTGTCAAAGTGAACGTTTTAAAATGAAAGCGCAAATTATTTTAAACGCGCGTAGGTTCGGCCCAGGAAACCCTACCGGCTGGGGTATATCTCCAAAAGTAAAATAAATGATTTGATTTGAAACTTTTACAAAATAGCAAGTATACAAATGTACAGCAATTCGAACAAACATATAAAATGGGCCGAAATGTATAAATGCTAAAAAGCGTGGGTCAGTGAAACAAGTACAGAGGACAACTTTCAGAACAAGAGTTTTTTGGCCGCCCAAAGTCTCAATAACATCACCTCCACCTAGTAATAAAATTATGAAATGTGAAAAGTGTGAAACAATCAAATAATAATGTATGTATATAATATAATTGTCTCTCAAATACAGATAACGTCCGTTAACTCTTAAAATACCCCTACAAGTACATATTATACTGATCGGTGGTGTCCGAGAAACATGAATTACGTCATCATGGTGTCTTCTTAACCCGGCTACAGACCTTCCCGTTACGGATGTAGTGGTCGAGATGAGTCTGTTCAGCCCTCTTCTTCTTCAGGTCAGTTACCACGTTCTTCCTTGCTGCACGCTCTTCACTGGATCTATCAGGACAGATCCATACATTTTTGTGTGCATCAGCCATCTTCAGTCTCCCTGTTTTCATCAGAATCTGATGAACTGCTGTTGAGCTTGGGACGGTGATCTTGACTGGTCGGATAGCCGTACCTGGCCTCTTCCAGCCGACTCTAGTCGCTTCAAAATGAGGTTTCTCCCCGATCTCCTCCAATAGTGCGGTTACCAGAGCTGGTAGCTGTTCTTCATCCTCTTCTTTCAGACCAAACACTATCAGATTCTTGCTCCTGTCCTCCTCTGCAGCCACACTCTTCATTACATTCTTCAGAATTTTGCTGTTGCAGACCGCGCCACTTGTGCTGTTCTTTTGTACAGCTGCACTGTAGCTCTTAATTCCTGTCTCCACCGTTGTTTGTACTGTCTCTTCAACTGACGTCTTAAACAACTGTAGTTGTTCGTCCTTCTGCACTAGCAACTGGTCCTGCAACCTGACCATCTTTTCCTTGTCTGCTAGTGCTTCCGTCTTGAGGCACTCAACGATTTCCATCATAGCGCTCATCTGACTACTCTGCCGTCGTACGAGGTCTGCTGCTTGCATAACCCAGTTTGCCATATACCTTTTATAGATAGACGGAGACATGAGTATTTCCTGGTCCATATTTCCACGAATTTCGAAGTTTTCTAATTTCAGTTCTCTTGCCATCGAAGTGAACCATCTTTCAGCACAGCCCTCTACATCTTCCTTTTCTTCGTAGTTGAAATCCTTGATTTTCTTCTGAGATCGGGTCAAATTCAGATCATCCTCCATGGTGTACTTGTATAATAATGTACAATTACACACGCAAAGGCTAACTACGCGGTAACAGCAAACTGAACTTATCGCTAAGTTACAAAAGATAAGGGAGCTCGATAATTGCAACGTAAGCTACACACACTAACCTTCCGGTTTTCAACAAAATGTCCGTCTCGTAAATTTAAAGTTGGCTCCCCAGGAGCACAATTTGGGACAACTTAGATTTTGAATTAAACCAAAAAGTTTGATTTTGGGCTAAATAAAATATCACAGCTTTTAAACTTTGCGAAGTAATGTCGTTGTCATGACTACTAGGCTCAATGCAGCGTGCGAAAGGTAAACTTGATGTGACGCGCGACGCCAAACGTGTTGTTGAAAATCTATCACCTCTAGCAAGCCCAGCAGGCGGTAAGGTTTTCTGGGTGTGTGATAGAGCTGAGAGTTTATAGTTCAGCTGCAGAAGAAAGCAGCAGGAAGGGGGGGGGGTGAGAAGGGGGGGAGGTGCAGGGAGGTAGGGGGATGTTTTGCGATATAATAATTATAATTTCGGCGGAAAATGTATGAAGTTTTAAAAGTAGATTTTGAGGCTGAAGATCGCGTTTTTACCTGCCCATCCAGGATCAGGAGTCCCCTTTCATGTTGGCAAAATTCTCTACTTTCTTTTGATATTTCAAAATTGAAATTTGACTTGATTGGTGGAGAGTTATGGTTTGTCAAAGTGAACGTTTTAAAATGAAAGCGCAAGTTATTTTAAACGCGCGTAGGTTCGGCCCAGGAAACCCTACCGGCTGGGGTATATCTCCAAAAGTAAAATAAATAGAACCTTCCGGTTTTCAACAAAATGTCCGTCTCGTAAATTTAAAGTTGGCTCCCCAGGAGCACAATTTGGGACAACTTAGATTTTGAATTAAACCAAAAAGTTTGATTTTGGGCTAAATAAAATATCACAGCTTTTAAACTTTGCGAAGTAAATATGTCGTTGTCATGACTACTAGGCTCAATGCAGCGTGCGAAAGGTAAACTTGATGTGACGCGCGACGCCAAACGTGCTGTTGAAAATCTATCACCTCTAGCAAGCCCAGCAGGCGGTAAGGTTTTCTGGGTGTGTGATAGAGCTGAGAGTTTATAGTTCAGCTGCAGAAGAAAGCAGCAGGAAGGGGGGGTGAGAAGGGGGGGGGGGAGGGGGAGGTGCAGGGAGGTAGGGGGATGTTTTGCGATATAAGAATTATAATTTCGGCGGAAAATGTATGAAGTTTTAAAAGTAGATTTTGAGGCTGAAGATCGCGTTTTTACCTGCCCATCCAGGATCAGGAGTCCCCTTTCATGTTGGCGAAATTCTCTACTTTCTTTTGATATTTTAAAATTGAAATTTGACTTGATTGGTGGAGAGTTATGGTTTGTCAAAGTGAACGTTTTAAAATGAAAGCGCAAATTATTTTAAACGCGCGTAGGTTAGGTCCAGGAAACCCTACCGGCTGGGGTATATCTCCAAAAGTAAAATAAATAGAACCTTCCGGTTTTCAACAAAATGTCCGTCTCGTAAATTTAAAGTTGGCTCCCCAGGAGCACAATTTGGGACAACTTAGATTTTGAATTAAACCAAAAAGTTTGATTTTGGGCTAAATAAAATATCACAGCTTTTAAACTTTGCGAAGTAAATATGTCGTTGTCATGACTACTAGGCTCAATGCAGCGTGCGAAAGGTAAACTTGATGTGACGCGCGACGCCAAACGTGTTGTTGAAAATCTATCACCTCTAGCAAGCCCAGCAGGCGGTAAGGTTTTCTGGGATCGATTCAAGTTGTTTTCAACTGTAGCGGGCCCTTTTAAAACAATCTCGAAGATCGACTGTAGTGATTTAGCACGCTCGAGAAAACAGCATACCACAGACTGAGACAAGACTGTGTCTTTTAAAAGACTCTTTTATCAATATCAAATTAAAATGCTTCCATTGACTTCCGTATCTGCATGCTAAGTTTGCGCGGCACTCGTCGAGTCCTCCAATATTAAATCGGATTTATTCCCAAACTAATCTACAGAGTTCAATTCTTGAACTATTATAATTGCCGTCAGACTGTCATGAGAATAAACTGCTGGATCTGGAAAATCATGCAAATGTAAATGCTTCTCCATGTGAACATAAAATGCTCACAATATCTAGATTGGATTTATATTTGTACATTGATATTCAATAATGTTGTGATGTACAAGCTCACAAAATCTGCACACATCTCTCAAGCACACAGCCTATCAGGTGATCGCTCATTGTACCACGTGACGGCTCGGTTAGATGAGGTCCTTGTGAGAGACAATCTACACTTGTACAACTACATGCAGCTCAGTAGTCAGTAGTGTCACTTTCTAGCTGTCCAGCTTACAGTTCATATTATTTGGGGGATCGGTTGCAACTGGGAAGTTATGGAGGATTTCGACTGGAGCTTTGTAAGTGATTTCATTTCAAGCAGCATGGTGAAGTTAATTCGATTAATTATATGACTTAAGGGTGAAATTGCAATTATATTTGTTCTGTTTCATGACATGAAATTAAAAACCTCCTGCATAGAATAAATCGCTGTAAGTAGATCGTGATAAAGATTGAAGAGAGGGAGAGAGAGAGAGTTGTTAGTAGATCGTGATAAAGATTGAATTTTCACCCTCAGATGGGAGCGGTGATTGTAATCAGCTTGGCCTGCTTTGCCCTGATAATATCAGTCGCGTACTATTGTTGGTTATACGAAGTAGCTTCCTCCTTTAAACTCTGCTTCCTCTCCATCTTTGGTATGGAGACTAAGAAATCCAGTAACAGGAAAACGATACTTCCAGTTTCGACAAGAGATCCAGCTCCTTATCCCACTATAAACAGGTACAAAATAAAGGTTGCTGCTACCGTTCCAGCTCCTTATCCCAATATAAACAGGTACAAAATAAAGGTTGTTGTTACCGTTCCAGCTCCTTATCCCAATATAAACAGGTACAAAATGAAGGTTGCTGCTACCGTTCCAGCTCCTTATCCCAATATAAACAGGTACAAAATAAAGGTCGTTGTTACCGTTCCAGCTCCTTATCCCAATATAAACAGGTACAAAATAAAGGTTGCTGCTACCGTTCCAGCTCCTTATCCCAATATAAACAGGTACAAAATAAAGGTTGTTGTTACCGTTCCAGCTCCTTATCCCAATATAAACAGGTACAAAATAAAGGTTGTTGTTACCGTTCCAGCTCCTTATCCCAATATAAACAGGTACAAAATAAAGGTTGCTGCTACCGTTCTATAAACAGGTACAAAATAAAGGTTGCTGCTACCGTTCTATAAACAGGTACAAAATAAAGGTTGCTGCTACCGTTCCAGCTCCTTATCCCACTATAAACAGGTACAAAATAAAGGTTGCTGCTACCGTTCCAGCTCCTTATCCCAATATAATATAAGTAGTAGTAGTAAATCTTTCAAAGTACGAAATATCTCTTTAAAAGAGCATCCTAGGCACCTTATAGATATCAAAACGCATAAAAAAGAAAACAAAAAACATCAACCATCTTCTAACTTCTTCCACTCCTCCCTATCTAAAGCCAAAAATCTAAGGTCTTCGAAATCAGTCAAATTCTTAAGTCTAATATCAAGATTTCTACTAGTCAAGTCTTTTCTAATAACATCTAATAAGTTTAAACATGGTCTACCCCGTCTCCCTTCCATAAAAATATCAGAATTTATAGCAAATAACATAGAGGTGTATGCTGGTGAGTCTTCCTGTCCTCTTAAGATATGTCCTAACATTCTCCATCGAAACTTAGAGACTCTCACAGACAAGGGAGTGACATAACAACGAGCATAGAGTGCCTCATTAGAAATAACCCCAGTAGGCCATCTGATGTTGAGGATTCTTCGGAGGTGTTTGCGATGAGCAATATCAAGTTCATTCAACGAAGCTAGTGGTGCAGCCCAGGAGTTGCAGTTGTAGAGTAGAATAGAGACTACTTGTGCCTCGTAGATTTTGATATAATATATAATTATTTGGATGAAAGCTCTATAATATAAACAGGTACAAAATAAAGGTTGTTGTTACCGTTCCAGCTCCTTATCCCAATATAAACAGGTACAAAATAAAGGTTGCTGCTACCGTTCCAGCTCCTTATCCCAATATAAACAGGTACAAAATAAAGGTTGTTGTTACCGTTCCAGCTCCTTATCCCAATATAAACAGGTACAAAATAAAGGTTGCTGCTACCGTTCCAGCTCCTTATCCCAATATAAACAGGTACAAAATAAAGGTTGTTGTTACCGTTCCAGCTCCTTATCCCAATATAAACAGGTACAAAATAAAGGTTGCTGCTACCGTTCCAGCTCCTTATCCCAATATAAACAGGTACAAAATAAAGGTTGTTGTTACCGTTCCAGCTCCTTACCCCAATATAATCAGGTACAAAATAAAGGTTGCTGCTACCGTTCTATAAACAGGTACAAAATAAAGGTTGTTGCTACCGTTCTATAAACAGGTACAAAATAAAGGTTGCTGCTACCGTTCTATAAACAGGTACAAAATAAAGGTTGCTGCTACCGTTCTATAAACAGGTACAAAATAAAGGTTGTTGCTACCGTTCTATAAACAGGTACAAAATAAAGGTTGCTGCTACCGTTCTATAAACAGGTACAAAATAAAGGTTGCTGCTACCGTGCGAGGCACTTTCTATAAGCTAGATAAGATCGAGATGTTTAATGATATTGTTTTTATATCATCGTTTTGTAGGCACAGTGTGGACTGTGAAAATTGGGGTAACCGAATCATCAATTATAGTATTCAGTTACCCAATACGAAATCAATTCTTATATTCGGTATTCATAATTTATGAGCCACCTTTGGATTATTGATACGAACGTTTTTACGCAGGATAAACGGTGAAAGTACACAACGTCATGTAATGCAACGAGTACCACAAAGACCCAAACACAATAACGCCATGAGAAGATCAAACAGCAGCCAAAATGGTAACTCAAGACCGACCACTGGTAACTCAAGACCGACCACTGGTAACAGACAAACCAGGCAACGGGCTGTGAACATTGCTATCCACGATCTAAAGTCTCAGAACCACGATCAGAGGTATTATCACGTGACAATATTTATATCTTTTAGCAGGTTAAAGTAAGTGCAGGTTAAAGTAAGTGCAGGTTAAAGTAAGTGCAGGTTAAAGTAAGTGCAGGTTAAAGTAAGTGCAGGTTAAAGTAAGTGCAGGTTAAAGTAAGTGCAGGTTAAAGTAAGTGCAGGTTAAAGTAAGTGCAGGTTAAAGTAAGTGCAGGTTAAAGTAAGTGCAGGTTAAAGTAAGTGCAGGTTAAAGTAAGTGCAGGTTAAAGTAAGTGCAGGTTAAAGTAAGTGCAGGTTAAAGTAAGTGCAGGTTAAAGTAAGTGCAGGTTAAAGTAAGTGCAGGTTAAAGCAAGTGCAGGTTAAAGCAAGTGCAGGTTAAAGCAAGTGCAGGTTAAAGCAAGTGCAGGTTAAAGTAAGTGCAAGTTAAAGTAAGTGCAGGTTAAAGTATGTGCAGGTTAAAGTAAGTGCAGGTTAAAGTAAGTGCAGGTTAAAGTAAGTGCAGGTTAAAGTAAGTGCAGGTTAAAGTAAGTGCAGGTTAAAGTAAGTGCAGGTTAAAGTAAGTGCAGGTTAAAGTAAGTGCAGGTTAAAGTAAGTGCAGGTTAAAGTTAGTACAGGTTAAAGTAAGTGCAGGTTAAAGTAAGTGCAGGTTAAAGTTAGTGCAGGTTAATCAGTGTCGACCGTGGAGAACCGAAAAAGGCCCTGAAAAGAACAATGCTAAGGTTTAGATAATACAGTTCACGTGACAGCACAACATTTCACGTGATAAAGGTAAAATAGTATTTTTATTTATTACTAATATGCAATTATTACTAATATGCATTATTACTAATATGCAATTACTAAAGATAACTTTAAAACATATAGGGTCAACCAAAAGGACCTCAGCTGATGATTTATCATGCAGGTACTGATCGAGCATGGATTATATAAATGAATAATTGTTCCCAGTTAATAAACCTTTTAACTTTAAGTTCATATTATCATGTATTGTGAACTTAAAACAAGGAAAGAGTTAAAAGTTCGCCTATTTGATATTTCGTCCCAATTATTTTGCATTTTGGATAACTTACAACTTAACCAGTGCATCCTTCACATATTTTAACATATCTTAACATATTTTAACATATTTTAACAGAGAGAATTCTCCGACGAAACCAGCTAAATCAGAAGCTGTCAGAGCGTACGTTAAAAGTACAGGAGCATCCTCCTCGAGTGGGGCTGAATCTTATAGCAGCACCACTATCACTGACAACTTGATGTCGACTGAAAGTGAAAGTGAAAGTGAATTTAAGCAGGTGGAACTAGAAGTTGCCAATTTAGTTGCGTGTGTCGCCAGTGAAAGGGGTGAAGCAGCTGGGGTTAAAGAAGGGTTTGTAGCATGAATGCTTTAAACTTAAGATTACAATTATTGGAAATGTGCCATCCCGGTCTTAATTTCAGTTCATATTTTAGTTAGATTAATAATTTAGAGTATGACACAATTATTATATGACCCATTTTTCAGGAGTTCTTTATCTAATACGATACCATCAGAATCATACAGAACAAGAAAATGGGCAAAAATGAACCGAAAATTGGGAGAAAACGAATGTCGTCTCACTCATGTGTAAATAACGATTGTACAACCGAAATGTAGATACTAGATACTCTAGTTAGGGCAAGAATAGAAATTACTTTACTATACTGCTATCCAGCATATTATTATTAGCAATGTCAATTTTCGTGTGTTTATTTCAGAAACGTATTTTATCAATATCTTATACTTTAATAGTTATAGAACACGGCTAATAATAATTGTTAAATCCAGTTTAATCCCGACAATTCGACCAGGGCGGAACAATTGACACACAAACCAGGGAGAAGCACTAGAGCAGTAGCTCCGTATACTTTGCAAGAGTCTGGGGGTCAGTTTGACAAAACAGATCACGTGACAGGAGATCACGTGACAGGAGACCACGTGACAGGAGATAACGTGACAGGAGATCACGTGACAGGAGACCACGTGACAGGAGATAACGTGACAGGAGATCACGTGACAGGTCGTAGGGTTACAGGTGGGTTTTGAGCTCTGATCCCTGGAATTAGATCATGTAACCATTGCATTATTGTTAATAATAGTCAACTACTTTTCTCAGTGTATGGTGTACTTATTTGATAATTCAAAATTACAACGATATTTCTATATTCAATGCATGACATTTAACATTTCGTCTTTTATTTTAATTTGTTTGAAAAACGATGAGTAAAGTAGAATTAGAGTAATTTCAGGGTCAAAGAGACGACTTGATGCAGAGCAAGGATCAATATTAGAAGTTCTTCAATCACTAAGAAAATCTGGCAATTTAGGAATAAATCCAATAGCTAGCCCGGTTTCTCAACTCTTCACCTCGGATCCAGAAAGGGAACAAAACGCTGTAGTGAACATGAGCGTTCACACTTTCAAGCAGTCTGTTAACCATAATAGAAGAGAAAAAGAGACACCAAAAGAAAACTCGTCAGCGAGTGATGAAATAAAATCATCTTCTGATTCGGACACAGAATCATCGCTCATTGTGATATCCCGTTCTCCAAATTTCAAACACAATATAACTTCAAATGATGGTAATAATCATGAAATAGAACCGGATTGTGGTATGATATCTGTTTACGAACATAACGCAAAGCATCATGTCTCAAGTGAAATCGAAGATGTAAGCAACGCCACAGAAAATCCATCAAAATCATCTCAAAATAAAAAAGTCGATCTAGAAAACGAAAAGTTCCCTCAAAATATAGACCCCTCTAAACAAGTGTTCGGCAGAGAAAACACCCCAGATCTTGACAAAAGAGAATCCCTGGTTCGCCGGATCGACAGCCTGTTCTGTTCGACCACGCCCTCCAGCATAGGCTCCTGCATTTCTGAGAATGTATACGAGCAACAAATACACCACAATATTAACAATCTAAATAATCGTAACTACAACAGCGCACAATCATCAGTCCACGAGAACAAATCATCCGACGACGAAATTGTTATCGGCACTTCGGAGTCTATATTCATCACTCAACCCAATGTGTATGAGCCGAAATATGAAGAACCAATCACAAGTACAAAACCTGATTTAATGAACCAATCAAAAGCTAATCCTGATGTGATAATGGACCAATCAAAAGCTAGTCCTGATGTGATAACGGACCAATCAAAAGCTAGTATGGTGAACCAATCACTAGCTTCCTCCTCCTCTTCCTTCAATTCCACCACACTCCCTTCAGTAACCTCCGAGATTAACACAACCACTTTGGACATGTCTAGTGAGGAAGAAAACCTTCCGGGGAGTTAAAGTACTTCCAGTGATCATAAAGCCGTAGTACATACATATTAAATTACACTGGATCGAGCTTACACAGTGTAATTTCGTCCAGTCTGCGCCGCGCGCCTATATAAACGTACACGGCGCAGACTGGAGGAAATTACACTGTGTTAGCTCCACTGTAATGTCATATGATTATGTATGTACTACGGCTTTATATTGTGGTATTTGCTTACTATTTGTTTATAATATTTGTTGTAGGTATTGTGATGATATATGACTTTTATTGATACTATCAGTGTTGGCAAGCCTTTATACCCCCTTTACGTTTTTTAATTGACTCATCACTGGCAATGCTTGTCAAAATATTTGCATTCCCTTGATTAACAATGAAAACAAACATCTCGACGAAATCTGAACTGAATTTCTAATTGTATAGATAACTTTATTATCAATGTCTCAACATATTTTCATAATGTAAAAACTATCATCAACGCGGAGGGATAGCATTTAAATTTTAAGTATGATCTAACTTCTGCATCATCTTCCACAAACGCGCGCGCACGTGCAAAACATGACTGCAGACAACAAAAACAAGACTTGACTAAACAGCTCGTGACTTGTCACATGTTATAAGTCCCTTCAAGTAGAAGTGTCTGAAGCCGGAGGGGACAGATAGGATGTGACAAGCTACAAGCAGAAGTGAGAATGCAAATGGTATGACGAAAATTCTTAATCACCTGATAATGTGATTCTTCGATCTTATCCTAACGAAATGGTATCTCAATAAGCCAGAAAAGAACAGTATTTATAATGTATAAGTAACATTCATAATACCTCCATGTCTCCCATATACAAGAAGCTTTCAAATTTTGACACGAAACCGATCATTGATAATCATCTTTCTAAAATCTTCCGAAAGTACGACATGACCAGTTGAAAACAAAATTGGTTCCCTGAACACAATTAAAAGAACAATCATAAAAACATTAACCAACAAGTTAACTAATTAACTAATTGCCCATTAAAACCGCCTGAGTTCAACTCAGTGAAAAGAGTTCTAATTACAATTTACAATCTTGGTGTTTTCAAAAAATAAACGAAATGTAACATTCTATATAGCAATGGTATCTTACTAAAACAAAAACTGGAGCACTTTTTAGCGTTGTTTCAGGTTAGAAATTAAAATTGATTTATATTATCAATCATATTATCCTATCAAACTGAATCATCCGAAAAATAACTATGAATGTGACATTAAGTTACATTACATTTACAATACTTTAACATAAAAGCGATATGTATTAGGCGTGTATAAACAAGATTGCATTATTTAAAATATTTAAATATCTTTGCGCAGAGAAATCGAATGCAAATATAAGTAAGAACTATAAGGAACTTATAATGCATAAACAATTCATTAATTATGCTTACATTATGTGTATAAACAATGTATTAATTATGCTTACATTATGCACACATTACGAGGTGCTATTTGTACATTTTGCAAACAAAAAGGAAAGTCTGTGCTGTTTTATGAGAAAGAAACCCAGTTGTTCTGATTTGAGCTGTTGCCTTCTTTCGTGGATCTGAAAAATTGGGCATAAAGATTGTTTATAATAAACAGCTTTTCAAAAACTATTATTATTATTCGCCGCTCATATTTCACCCAAACTAGTTATAAATCAATGTCCACTGTTACATCAATTGTAACAATAATTGTCAATGTATGTAGTTGTACTTACGATGAAAAGGCGCCCCAATCATCGTCAAGCAAGTTCTCGGTTGTAGGCTCCTGTCTAAAGCCTACAGGTGAAGGAGCAGGAACATCATGAGGCATGGGAGTACCACCTGCTCTGAACAAGGGTCCTGTGGAGCCAAAAATGTAAAAAGTGAAATAGCACCTGTGTCCTAGCCTGTAGGCTTCAGGTAAATAGCACCTGTGTCCTAGCCTGAAGGCTTCAGGTAAATAGCACCTGTGTCCTAGCCTGTAGGCTTCAGGTAAATAGCACCTGTGTCCTAGCCTGAAGGCTTCAGGTAAATAGCACCTGTGTCCTAGCCTGAAGGCTTCAGGTAAATAGCACCTGTGTCCTAGCCTGAAGGCTTCAGGTAAATAGCACCTGTGTCCTAGCCTGAAGGCTTCAGGTAAATAGCACCTGTGTCCTAGCCTGAAGGCTTCAGGTAAATAGCACCTGTGTCCTAGCCTGAAGGCTTCAGGTAAATAGCACCTGTGTCCTAGCCTGTAGGCTTCAGGTAAATAGCACCTGTGTCCTAGCCTGTAGGCTTCAGGTAAATAGCACCTGTGTCCTAGCCTGAAGGCTTCAGGTAAATAGCACCTGTGTCCTAGCCTGTAGGCTTCAGGTAAATAGCACCTGTGTCCTAGCCTGAAGGCTTCAGGTAAATAGCACCTGTGTCCTAGCCTGAAGGCTTCAGGTAAATAGCACCTGTGTCCTAGCCTGAAGGCTTCAGGTAAATAGCACCTGTGTCCTAGCCTGTAGGCTTCAGGTAAATAGCACCTGTGTCCTAGCCTGTAGGCTTCAGGTAAATAGCACCTGTGTCCTAGCCTGAAGGCTTCAGGTAAATAGCACCTGTGTCCTAGCCTGTAGGCTTCAGGTAAATAGCACCTGTGTCCTAGCCTGAAGGCTTCAGGTAAATAGCACCTGTGTCCTAGCCTGAAGGCTTCAGGTAAATAGCACCTGTGTCCTAGCCTGTAGGCTTCAGGTAAATAGCACCTGTGTCCTAGCCTGTAGGCTTCAGGTAAATAGCACCTGTGTCCTAGCCTGAAGGCTTCAGGAAATAGCACCTGTGTCCTAGCCTGAAGGCTTCAGGTAAATAGCACCTGTGTCCTAGCCTGAAGGCTTCAGGTAAATAGCACCTGTGTCCTAGCCTGAAGGCTTCAGGTAAATAGCACCTGTGTCCTAGCCTGAAGGCTTCAGGTAAATAGCACCTGTGTCCTAGCCTGAAGGCTTCAGGTAAATAGCACCTGTGTCCTAGCCTGTAGGCTTCAGGAAATAGCACCTGTGTCCTAGCCTGAAGGCTTCAGGTAAATAGCACCTGTGTCCTAGCCTGAAGGCTTCAGGTAAATAGCACCTGTGTCCTAGCCTGAAGGCTTCAGGTAAATAGCACCTGTGTCCTAGCCTGTAGGCTTCAGGAAATAGCACCTGTGTCCTAGCCTGAAGGCTTCAGGTAAATAGCACCTGTGTCCTAGCCTGAAGGCTTCAGGTAAATAGCACCTGTGTCCTAGCCTGAAGGCTTCAGGTAAATAGCACCTGTGTCCTAGCCTGAAGGCTTCAGGTAAATAGCACCTGTGTCCTAGCCTGTAGGCTTCAGGTAAATAGCACCTGTGTCCTAGCCTGTAGGCTTCAGGAAATAGCACCTGTGTCCTAGCCTGAAGGCTTCAGGTAAATAGCACCTGTGTCCTAGCCTGAAGGCTTCAGGTAAATAGCACCTGTGTCCTAGCCTGAAGGCTTCAGGTAAATAGCACCTGTGTCCTAGCCTGTAGGCTTCAGGTAAATAGCACCTGTGTCCTAGCCTGAAGGCTTCAGGTAAATAGCACCTGTGTCCTAGCCTGAAGGCTTCAGGTAAATAGCACCTGTGTCCTAGCCTGAAGGCTTCAGGTAAATAGCACCTGTGTCCTAGCCTGAAGGCTTCAGGAAATAGCACCTGTGTCCTAGCCTGAAGGCTTCAGGTAAATAGCACCTGTGTCCTAGCCTGAAGGCTTCAGGTAAATAGCACCTGTGTCCTAGCCTGAAGGCTTCAGGTAAATAGCACCTGTGTCCTAGCCTGAAGGCTTCAGGTAAATAGCACCTGTGTCCTAGCCTGAAGGCTTCAGGTAAATAGCACCTGTGTCCTAGCCTGTAGGCTTCAGGTAAATAGCACCTGTGTCCTAGCCTGTAGGCTTCAGGAAATAGCACCTGTGTCCTAGCCTGAAGGCTTCAGGTAAATAGCACCTGTGTCCTAGCCTGAAGGCTTCAGGTAAATAGCACCTGTGTCCTAGCCTGAAGGCTTCAGGTAAATAGCACCTGTGTCCTAGCCTGAAGGCTTCAGGAAATAGCACCTGTGTCCTAGCCTGAAGGCTTCAGGTAAATAGCACCTGTGTCCTAGCCTGAAGGCTTCAGGTAAATAGCACCTGTGTCCTAGCCTGTAGGCTTCAGGTAAATAGCACCTGTGTCCTAGCCTGAAGGCTTCAGGAAATAGCACCTGTGTCCTAGCCTGAAGGCTTCAGGTAAATAGCACCTGTGTCCTAGCCTGAAGGCTTCAGGTACAAATATTTTCAGCTCTTAAAGTTGTAATTATATCCATTATAAATATAAACATAAAGGCATTATACCGCCCACTAGATTTTAGGCATATTTTAAATATCATGTTAATTAACATTTGATAGTGAAAGTTCCCAGCTCACCGAGTTCCTGTTTGCTGGTAGCTTTAACCCCGGGAAGGGGAACCCTGGTGTTAAGTGAGCCGGGAGGAGGGGGCAGGAAGCCGGTAAAGCCGCCGCCGCCGCCGCCACCGCCGCCACTGGGTCGGGGTTTCTGATCAGAACCCCTTCTCTCGACTCTGTCCGGGTCTATACCGCTCTTGTTCTGGCAGGAGTATTATTTTTATAGCTCCGATATTTTGTGTGTGCGATTAAATGTGTTTTATTCACTTCAGCATTTTGAGAAAAATGATGAAATATTCTCGCAATTTTCGCCACGGCGAAAACTGAAAATGTCTATGATTAAAATGGCAGAGATAAAGTAAAAATAAAACTCCTCAAAATTTCACAATACAAGTTAAATTCAATTTACTCCGAATTGTTTCAATTAGTCTGCATCTAGTCAGAAAAATTATCTTAAAATCTTACCTTCAAATTGATAGTGATCGTTTGCCCTGCTTTCAAGGACAAGTCCACTACTGGCTTAGGGTTCTGGTCTTCTTTCTCGATTTCTTTGCTTTGTTTTAGCCACCTAAGATTAAGAGGTTTGTCAACAACATTTCTGACGTGTTCAGTGGTTACTGGTGTCAGTTCAACCAGATTTTAAGTTAAACTTACAACACTCATGTCAGTTAAATCTCAGATTCACTACAAAAGTTGGTGATTATCGTGCAATGACCACTATTGACTTTTAGACTTGCGTATGATAACAAACAAACTGTATCCTCAGGGACTTATAATTGTGTGGTGAGAGGCCGGAGCAGCATAGCATGTAGCTAGAAATTGGACGAGCCCTCGCGTGTTTGTTGCATCACCCTGCCACAGAGTAAGTACAGAATAAGCACGCACAGGCCGCAGCGTACGTGATACAGCAGTTCTAGCGTGGTTTAATCTGATATCGCCCATCCTATTTGAGGTCCTATGGCTGATCTAGCTAGCTGGTCCGTGATCGCTTGTGCGCGCGAGAACTTGGACACTTTTGTAATAGTAGAGTAGTAGCGCGCTACGACTACGATCCTATTCATTGTCGACCATTTTGTGGGCACATCATGATTAGCTGATATTGAGCATTAAAAATAAAGTCCTTAAAACCAGTCCGACGCGTTATGTAACCACGCTAGTCGTTTATTTGGAAGGTAATAAAGTTGACTTACTTAAAATGATCTGAGATAGCTACGTTGAAATCGAATGAGTCGCCTCTATCTGCAAATCCTACACCTATAAAAGCATGTCGCCCTGAAATGTGAAAATATCCGTATAAGAATATTGGTTGAAAAATATGACAAGGATTGGAATATCATGCAATATTGAAATAATAGAATTAACAGACAAGCAACATTTCAAACTTGGATGGCAGTATCGGTAAAGTTCAGAGCTGCGACTGCATTCTTGATTGAAAACGTGATTTATCAGTCATAATATTATATACACAACAGAAAAATATGCGATCTAAAAATAAATCACATGTTTTGTATAAACTCTTAAACATTAGCCTTGATTAAGGTAATTTAGCTGCCTGATTTTCCCAGTACGACTCAAAGGTCCTCGAATCATTTATAGAAATAGGTTCCCCAAATATGTAAGCTACATATTTGACAATACTTTTGTTATTTGAAAACGACATGCGCTCCTACACAAAGCATATAATGCAATTTAACATTGTAGCTGCAGGCACAATAAAAATATATTGAAAAGACTCCGAAATTTAAACCCCTACTTGCCAAATGAATTGTTATACTTAACATATTATCATGGTATGTTGTACTCCAGAAAGTTGATTGTTTTTACTAACAATACATTATATACGATTAGTGGTTAGCTTAATGACATGCCTGCAATGAGTGTTATCTTACACCTGACATTAATCCTCGAATTTGATTGGATCCCACAGTAAGTTGTAAAGTTGGAACCTTAAAACCGGTTTAATACTCCTACACGCCTACAAATCCCAAAACTAACTTACATTATAGATAATAATAATCACTAGATAATAGTAACTGTGATATTTCACATGGCAATATAAACCTGCTCCTCAGCAATACTCAATAGTCTTCATTTTAATCCGTGACAGTTAAAAACTAGAATAATTTGTAAATAATCTTCTTATAATTAGCTAATTAGTTAATTAGTTAATTACTGGATTAAGTAATGGATAGATTAGCTACTCACCGCTAGTATCCATAGGATCAACCAGCCGCAAAACGAAATATCTGCTGCTATCAAGGACCGCTTCTACTGCTGTTACACTCGGCCAGTCGTCTATAGGACATTCTCCGAATAGTTTACCTGAGAATTAACGATTTTATTTACCGTCAGGGGATTGTTTACCCGAAGAATTTACAAATATTTTAAGATTTTATATTCTTTCGACTGTAAAATGTGTTGGATAGTTGCAGATTTTACAATACGTTATAAATGAACGGGGCTTGTTGGTGACTGGTAGCTAGTAACCTTGGTGACTGGTAGCTAGTAACCTTGGTGACTGGTAGCTAGTAACCTTGGTGACTGGTAGCTAGTAACCTTGGTGACTGGTAGCTAGTAACCTTGGTGACTGGTAGCTAGTAACCTTGGTGACTGGTAGCTAGTAACCTTGGTGACTGGTAGCTAGTAACCTTGGTGACTGGTAGCTAGTAACCTTGGTGACTGGTAGCTAGTTACCTTGGTGACTGGTAGCTAGTAACCATGGTGACTGGTAGCTAGTAACCTTGGTGACTGGTAGCTAGTAACCTTGGTGACTGGTAGCTAGTAACCTTGGTGACTGGTAGCTAGTTACCTTGGTGACTGGTAGCTAGTAACCTTGGTGACTGGTAGCTAGTAACCTTGGTGACTGGTAGCTAGTAACCTTGGTGACTGGTAGCTAGTTACCTTGGTGACTGGTAGCTAGTAACCTTGGTGACCGGTAGCTAGTTACCTTGGTGACTGGTAGCTAGTTACCTTGGTGACCGGTAGCTAGTTACCTTGGTGACTGGTAGCTAGTAACCTTGGTGACTGGTAGCTAGTAACCTTGGTGACTGGTAGCTAGTTACCTTGGTGACTGCTAGCTAGTAACCTTGGTGACTGGTAGCTAGTTACCTTGGTGACTGGTAGCTAGTAACCTTGGTGACTGGTAGCTAGTTACCTTGGTGACTGGTAGCTAGTTACCTTGGTGACTGGTAGCTAGTAACCATGGTGACTGGTAGCTAGTAACCTTGGTGACTGCTAGCTAGTAACCTTGGTGACTGGTAGCTAGTAACCTTGGTGACTGGTAGCTAGTAACCTTGGTGACTGGTAGCTAGTAACCTTGGTGACTGGTAGCTAGTAACCTTGGTGACTGGTAGCTAGTAACCTTGGTGACTGGTAGCTAGTAACCTTTTATTACGCAACATTTAAATGATGCACTGCAATTATAGGTCAGACACGTACATCATCAAGTTTACAACAAGTTCTACTCAATGATCAGGAGGTGTTAACGTGACTCCAATATCAGGGTGACGTTATTTCAAATATGGAAATTTAGCCTGAGTCATACCTTTAGAACGATACGTCATAATTCTGAGAGAATATATTGTGTTGCACACTGTACTGTGCACACTGTACTGTGCACACTGTACTGTGCACACTGTACTGTGCACACTGTACTGTGCACACTGTACTGTGCACACTGTACTGTGCACACTGTACTGTGCACACTGTACTGTGCACACTGTACTGTGCACACTGTACTGTGCACACTGCACACTGTACACTGTACACTGTACACTGTACCTAGAACACATACAGGGAGATCAGAGAGGGTAATGACTTACACAGTAGTAATGACTTACACAAGCTCAATAAAATCTGGAAATCCTAACTCTCTGATATGAGCCTTTTTAAGATTAATTGCGGCTTGAGATTACGAATCGGATGTTAGGATACCTTTTGGGTTACGAGAATAATGATGTGTTTTATCAAACTTGTTCCGTCTAGAACAATATTGAGACTAAGTCTAGTTGTTGTGATACCTTGTCAAAGAAAAGGGGGCTATAAATTTAAAGAACTTAATTAAAGCTGAGATCAATAGTGGGCTGCACTATCAATTAGTTGAAGTATTAATTAGATGAACTACTAACCATTGTGATATAATTACTCTTGTAATTCTTTGTAAAAGTAACAAATAGTTTTAATAAGATGCTTTCACAATGGAGACAAACGACTTGTTGTTGCCTACGAAGGTAAAGACAGACGATATCATATTCGTAAAAACTAATTACGTTTGAATTCTATGACGAACAGTGAATTTAAATACCTTAAGTAAGTAAGTAATTACACATCAATGAGCCTAAATAAAAACTATGGCGACAAATAATGTTTAGGCTCGGGAGAGGCTCAGACTGGTTAGAGCAGGCACAAGTAAACATGATTTAATAGTAAACACAAGTAAACACAAGTAAACACAAGTAAACACAAGTAAACACAAGTAAACACAAGTAAACACAAGTAAACACAAGTAAACAAGAGGGACGGAGGGAAGGGGGGAGTGGGAGGGACGGAGGGAAGGGGAGGGACGGAGGGAAGGGGAGGGACGGAGGGAAGGGGAGGGACGGAGGGAAGAGGAGGGACGGAGGGAAGGGGAGGGACGGAGGGAAGAGGAGGGACGGAGGGAAGGGGAGGGACGGAGGGAAGGGGAGGGACGGAGGGAAGGAGAGGGACGGAGGGAAGAGGAGGGACGGAGGGAAGGGGGGACGGAGGAGAGGAGGGACGGAGGGAAGAGGAGGGACGGAGGGAAGGGGAGGGACGGAGGGAAGGGGAGGGACGGAGGGAAGGGGAGGGACGGAGGGAAGGAGGGGACGGAGGGAAGAGGAGGGACGGAGGGAAGGGGGGAGTGGGAGGGACGGAGGGAAGAGGAGGGAGGGACGGAGGGAAGGGGAGGGACGGAGGGAAGGGGGGGAGTGGGAGGGACGGAGGGAAGGGGAGGGACGGAGGGAAGGGGAGGGACGGAGGGAAGGAGAGGGACGGAGGGAAGAGGAGGGACGGAGGGAAGGGGGGGAGTGGGAGGGACGGAGGGAAGAGGAGGGAAGGGGAGGGACGGAGGGAAGGAGAGGGACGGAGGGAAGAGGAGGGACGGAGGGAAGGGGGGGAGTGGGAGGGACGGAGGGAAGGGGAGGGACGGAGGGAAGGGGAGGGACGGAGGGAAGGGGAGGGACGGAGGGAAGGAGAGGGACGGAGGGAAGAGGAGGGACGGAGGGAAGGGGGGGAGTGGGAGGGACGGAGGGAAGAGGAGGGAAGGAGAGGGACGGAGGGAAGGGGAGGGACGGAGGGAAGAGGAGGGACGGAGGGAAGGGGGGAGTGGGAGGGACGGAGGGAAGAGGAGGGACGGAGGGAAGAGGAGGGACGGAGGGAAGAGGAGGGACGGAGGGAAGGGGAGGGACGGAGGGAAGGGGAGGGACGGAGGGAAGGGGAGGACGGAGGGAAGGGGAGGGACGGAGGGAAGGGGAGGGACGGAGGGAAGGAGAGGGACGGAGGGAAGAGGAGGGAAGGGGAGGGACGGAGGGAAGGGGAGGGACGGAGGGAAGAGGAAGGACGGAGGGAAGGGGGGGAGTGGGAGGGACGGAGGGAAGAGGAGGGACGGAGGGAAGAGGAGGGACGGAGGGAAGGGGAGGGACGGAGGGAAGAGGAGGGGACGGAGGGAAGGGGAGGGACGGAGGGAAGGGGAGGGACGGAGGGAAGGGGAGGGACGGAGGGAAGGGGAGGGACGGAGGGAAGGAGAGGGACGGAGGGAAGAGGAGGGACGGAGGGAAGGGGGGAGTGGGAGGGACGGAGGGAAGAGGAGGGACGGAGGGAAGGGAAGGGACGGAGGGAAGGGGAGGGACGGAGGGAAGAGGAGGGACGGAGGGAAGGGGAGGGACGGAGGGAAGGGGAGGGACGGAGGGAAGGGGAAGGGACGGAGGGAAGGGGAGGACGGAGGGAAGGGGAGGGACGGAGGGAAGAGGAGGGACGGAGGGAAGGGGAGGGAAGGGGGGAGTGGGAGGGACGGAGGGAAGGAGAGGGACGGAGGGAAGAGGAGGGACGGAGGGAAGGGGAGGGACGGAGGGAAGAGGAGGGACGGAGGGAAGAGGAGGGACGGAGGGAAGGGGAGGGACGGAGGGATGGGGAGGGACGGAGGGAAGGAGAGGGACGGAGGGAAGATGAGGGACGGAGGGAAGGGGAGGGACGGAGGGAAGGGGAAGGACGGAGGGAAAGGGAGGGACGGAGGGAAGGGAGAGGGGACGGAGGGAAGAGGAGGAAGGGGATGGACGGAGGGAAGGGGAGGGACGGAGGGAAGGGGAGGGACGGAGGGAAGGGGAGGGACGGAGGGAAGGGAAGGGACGGAGGAAAGGGGAGGGACGGAGGGAAGGGATTCTGCCCTTGGTCCTGGTTTAAAAAACTGAGTGGAAGTAAAATCGTCTACTATGAAGTCAATTTCCAGACTACTTGAGTTCGGATATTATAAACAATATAAATATTATGATTTATGTAGTAGTTTAAACTATACCATCACTCATTTATAAATACAACTTAAAGCCACTATGTTAATAATAGTAACTACTACTATTACTATAGAAACATATTCTAAAGTACGTGCTTTCTTTAAATTCCTTATTTTTAAGTCAATAAGATGCTATGATCTGTTGATGCTATGATATGTGATACGTATTGTATTAGTAAAGGAGCTGTCAGTTAGTACTAAGTAATCTGTGTCATCATGAGATAAGTGTAGAATAATGATTATTACGAGTCTACAGCAGGAGCACAATGAATGATGATTCACACTCTGCTAAAATCTCTTTAGGCAGATTTTTTGATTCTCTAGTTTTCTTAGGGGGGGGGGGGGGGGGGGGTGGGGGGGGGTGGTAGTTTCAAGTGTGTCCCATATCCTAGCACCCAGCCTAATTGTCCGGTAAACAGGGTGGCCGTTCACTTTGGGCCACCCTGTATAGTGCATAGTGTATATCTGGTCTCGATCCTGGATCTATGTGACAAGTTTGCTCCCTAATTCCAAAACCGACCAAACACGGCGAGATCTAAGTGCGGTGATTCTTCACAAATGGTATGATCCAAAACCTAGTGCTGCCAAATGTTTCCTGGAATTGTACTGAGAAGCTGGTTGTTGTTTTTATTTGTTATTTCTTAATCTCAGTGTTGTTTACTTTGTTTCCAATATTGTGACGTCACAGTAATACTGTGACGTCACGACAGGATTGTTTTAGATTTGCCGGTGAACTTTGAACGATTAAACTGCTCTGCTGCTTGACATGATTAAGTAATTATCATAATTAAGAAATTAA